CTGAGGAGAAAGAGGGGACGGTCGTCGTCTCTGGGCTGAGGGGAAAGGCGGGAAGGTCCCCTGGCGGAGGCACACGACCCACCGACCAGCCTCCGCCGGTTCCTGACTGACTGACTAGAGGGAACCCTCGTTGCCCCCGTTCCTCCGCCTCCCCTTGAGGGGAAAAAAAAAACCTTTCCCGCCTTCCCTCCGTGTGAGGGGAGGCGCCCCTTCCTGAGGTGAGGCAAAGAACCAACTTTCCATGATGATGGTGAGGAGGAGGATGACGACGATTATTCTTCAAAAATGTCAGGCACTGTCAGTCTAAATTATTAAAACACGGACTGCTAGGATGTAACATATACAAATTCGAAGCAAAAACCTGGGCCTCTGTTAAATATCAACAAGATGAGGTTCCTAATATTGCCCATTTTTTGGGGGGTAGCTCTGATGGTGTGGTATCTGAGATCTGCAACTGCTTACTTTGTGAAACGACAGAGTTAATGAAAGTATCTGAGATCTGCAACTGCTTGTAGTACTTTGTGAAACGACAGAGTTAATGAAATAATTGGAAAAGATCTTCAAGTCTAAAGGTGTGCTTGCTGGAGATCAAACCTAAATGGATCCATACTTTAGAAATCTCCATTTCTATGTATGGAGGAGGAAGCTGACCAGAAGAAAACTGTCTTGAGTGTGGAGGTGGAGGAGTGCTCCCACAGACCACCAGAAATAAAACTGTTTAAATCAAATAAGATTAAGCTTAGGAATAAGAGCCACTGAATAAAACCAGTTACATCCTTATAAACACCTGAAGGCTGAAATCTTATCACTTATTGTAGTAAGTCCCACTAGAGTAGTCCCATTGAATCTGTGTGGAGTTGGTGAGTCAACTCCTCCGCATACAGTATTCAAATAGTTTCGAATGAGTGTATTCTATGAGGCTCATTTGAATTTATGGAGAAGTTGACTCACTAAATCCACACAGATTCAATGACCCAGCTCTAGTGTGGCTTAGTATACTGAACAACAGGTTTTCAGCCTCGGTGTTATACTGAAAGGGTTGTGATTGTGTGTATACCTGACTTGGAATGAGCTGCAGAACTTTTTGGGACTTACTTTTTGAGAAACACTCAGATTGCTCCTAATGCCTGCACACACTCATTTAGGAATTCAGTGGGAGGTCCCGCCATTGAGTAAACACACATCACACTGGGTAGTAAGGATTATTTTGTAGCAGAAGGTCTTCCACGTTGCAGATAAATGTTATCTGCAGTTGGTATATGGAGGGATAAGCAGTGAGGCCAGTACTCCCTGAAGTGTAATAGTCTGTCTATAACACGTTTAAGCTCAAATGTATACAAGGCAAGTACAAATTCCAGAGCAGTGATTGTGTTATTCGGTCATGGCAAACACACAAAGAAGACCTTGAGGGACAGAGATTTATAGGGGCAGAAGCTCTCTGGAGGCAGGATCCTGCAGCTTTGTTCTATAAAAGCTTTCTGTCATAGTCATGTGGTGGTACTATGCCTGTGACCAATGATTTTGCCCCTGGGTAAATGTAGAGATAGAATTTCTGCTAGTGGTGGTTTATGACCAGGGCAAGGGGGCAACCCTCCCTAAATTTTGGGAGGATGCATCTCCCTGTCCTGCTCTATGAGCCACCTATGATTGCACTTTAGGTCTGTTATAATGTTGCACATATTCATTCAGAAGTAAATCCCATTGAGTTCAGTGTTGCTCACTACCAGGTAAGTATGCTTAGCCAGTTATGGATACTCAGCCTCACTGAACGCAGTGAGACCAGTTGGGAATGCGTACAGTAGAAGTGTGTTAAAAATCTTTGAAGTGACATAAGACTCCTTGGTGTGTTTGAAGCAATCCAATGAACCGAAACTGTTCCTCAGGAAAAGCAGAATCTTAGGTGTTGTTCAGACTTGTTGTGTGGTATGTTGTCCAAACCACCAGCGACAACTATTGCTGCTGAAGCCAGTTTCAAAGAGTATTCTGCCTGGCAAGTGAGGTCTGTCTCCAGGTTAAAATACTTCAGAGTGCTGGAGTAACCTGTGGCTCAACTGATGTTTGTTGGGGTACAAGCTTTCATCAGGCACAGAGATCTGGGCCGATAGATATTAATTCTGACAGTTGACATTTAAGACCTGGAAGGTGACTAGTTCTCCACTCCTCTTCCCAAGGAATGTTTTGTAGCCTTGCTTGCATCTCTCTTTTTGTTCTGTGAGCTCAAGGCAGCATACAGTGCTCTCTTTCTTCTTATTTTATCCTCACGCTGAACCTGTAGGGTAGTTCAAGCTGAGACGAAATAACCGACCCAAGAGAATTTCATGGATTCCTGGACTTCCAAAGTCCTAATATGATAATCCCAACCAATGTTCCCTCTAATTTTTAGCCCTGCTGGGTGGGGCTCCACCCCTCACATGTGCAACTCCACCCCCTGCATGGGGTTCATCACAACCAACTGTGGGTGTGCAGAGAGAAGGAATGCAGGACAGAAGGGGTGGAGTTGCTCACGCTTGCGCAGCTGCACACCTTAAAGGGAAACTTGCTCCCAGCTAATTTAGTGGTTACAACAACTAGCCAGTTACCAGAACCCTATTGGTATTTGCATAAGGTTTACACAACTTGCCGTGGCCAGTCACAACTAATTTATGAGGCTCTGGTTTGTCCCTGATCATCCATTTGCACGCACAACCAAGATGTGTCTCAGCACCCTATGAGTTAGTCAGAATTAGCTGCAGCAGGTTCTGTAAACTTTATGCAGATGTCAGTAGGAGATCCGTTTTGGAGATCCAGGCTGGGTCCCCACTTATTTGTGAAGATAACTTGGGAAGAAGGAGAGCATATACACCACCTTGAGATCTCTGGGACAAATGTAAGACATAAACCTAAATACTGTAGTAAATAGAAATAGAGATTTTCTGGAAAAGATAATACTAGTGGGAAAGACTGGAGGCAGCAGGAAAAGAGGAAGACCAAATACAAGATGGACTACTGACTCCATAAATTCCTTTAGTCTTGAGGCTTAGGTTTGCAGGAGCTGAGATGTTGAAGACAGGACCTTTTGGAAATTGCTCATTCATACGGTCGCCATGAGTTGGAGGCGATCTGATGGCGCATAACAGCAAAAACAAACAAACAAACATCACAACGACTTCTACACAGACTGTCTCCTTATTGAGAACTGGCAGATATCCATGTATGAATCATACCTGTGATTGAGCCGCTTCAAAGAGACCCTGCATCACATCTGTGAAACAGAAAATGCTTTTCAGCTGTTCGAGGGTGAATGCTGAACAGTCACGTTTCAGATGTACAGACTGAGCCAAATGACTGTGAAGGGCAGAGACAAGTGATGTAGCAGCATGGTGAGGACTGAGCTATAAAATTAGTAGGTCTCTGGTTTCATGGGAGACTGAGCTACAAAATTAGTAGATCTCTGGTTTCAGATGTTAATTCAGCAATTTGGTAAAGTCATTGTCAGATCCCCTTTACCACTGTGGATGTTAGGGTTCCTGCTCTTTCCCCATTCTTCCTCTTCTCTTCTCCATTCAAGAGGAAATGTTCCACTATGTCCTTGTCATGGGTGGAGGAGTTCTGCTGAGGCTGCCTGTCTTCTTGTTGGAGATAATTGATGGATGTTCTACTAGACTGGAACAAGCCTGAGAGGTATTAATTTTTCCCCCTTTGCTTTCTGGATCACTGAGGTGTGAGAGATGGTAGCACACAAGTGCTTACTGACCTGTATTCAGGGGTCCTGAGACTGAATAGCTAACTGCAGAAATGAGAAAGTTAGTGGGAAGGTTAATATGGAAATCTAATGGTAATAATTTTTTTAAAAAAATAAACAAAAAACCCCAGTGTGATCATGTTTACATTGAAACAAAACAACAGAGTTTTAATTGAAATTTAAACGTATTTTGGCCAGAACACAACTGGTGATTTATGATTGTGTAAATGAAATGGCATAAGTTGCAAATTGCCGCTAATTAATGAAATGCTGGTTGCATTCCTTGAAGTGTGTTGAATCATGGACTTCAGTTGCACAACCAGGAATGCAACCAGCATGCTGTGAATTAGTGACAGTTTGCCGCTCTGCCTTAACTGTGTTTCACTCATACAAGCATAAATCATCAACTGGATTCTGGACATACTGATATCATACATCAATTTTTTAAAAAGTGTTATTTTCTGTTATGCAGAGGATCAAAACTGCTTATCCAAAATGTTTTTAAAAGCCCCTGCTTCCCAACAATCTTTACCAGACTGAAGCCCAAAAATCCCATCCATGACTTTATTTTTTATTGCTCTTTACAGATTAACTTCCAAAGCAAACCAAGTGTTTTAAATATTCACCTAGATGTTTGTTACTTAATTTGAATTCACATTGATGTTTGCAGTATGTATGGCCCCAAGAGGGTTCCTAGGACAAAAAATTAGCCCAGCATAAAGTATAGATTTTATTCTAGACAACAATGTGGTTTACTAGTTCACTTTGGGAGTAAGAGAAAGGAAAGGCTGTTAGGTGAAATGTGGCAGCATGTGAATAAGTCTTTTATTCTCTATCTCACACATGGAAGAACAGGAGCCTTTGGGTTGAGGAGAGATCCACACCCATTGATGTATGGCTTGGCCTAGGCACACTTATTCATAAAATACTTTCCGTTTCTGCCTCCTGAAGTGCTGTGCTTCCCTGTTTCCTTGGTTGCTACGGT